GGAACCTGGCCCTCGACGAAGTCGACGTCCCCGAGGCCTCTAACAGGGCTCCCGGGGGCAGCGTCATCACTGGGTTGGATCAGACGGCTGTCGACCTACGCCATCAGATTCAACAGAATGCCCCCGATGCCCGCCTCGGTATCGAGGCCAAGAAGAAGGACCGGAGCGAGAACCAAGTTAGCCCTCCGGTCATCACTATCGACGTACAGTCGGCGTTTTCCGCCTTCATCCAGACGCTCACCCAGAATCCGGGTGCCTTCGGCACTTTGGTTCCCCTCCAACCTCAGGTCGGGGAAAATATCATGCCTCCCCCTCATCCACACCCCCTCGGGAACCCTGTCCTCCGGATTGGGAACGTCGAGGGAGTCGTGGCCCAAGATACGGCCTCCCAGGAAGTTCAATCCCGGGACCGCCACAACATGAACAAGGAACAGCCCTGGACCTCCGCCCTCGATAGACTCGGAGGGGCGCAAAACCACCGAAGGGTCCAAGACCACCTCGGGGGGAAGGTGCTCCAGAGGCCTCAGGAAAGTCGTGGATCTGTCTCCAGTGCTAATGAGAGACGTCCCCTTCAGGACAAAGGCAAGGCACCTCTCCATGCCAACGACGCCCGTCACCACATCAATCAGGCCCACTCGGCCCGTGTTCGTTCGCAGGGGAGGAGGCCCTCCTGAAGGACCCACGGGACGAAATCATTGCGGCCCTCCAGCGCCGGTTTGACGAGATGGAGCCCACCAAAGCACACGCCACCACTTCTGCCCCTCATACAAACCTGATGTATGAGGCCATGTTGGCCAAGATGGAGGATATGCAGAAGAAGATAACTGAGGGCACCGGGGAGCCCACCATACAACTCCGGACCATGACGCCATTTACCCCAAGGGTATTGGCGGCCCGGATCCCGGAAAAATACCGAGGGCAACTCATCAAGCCCTACGACGGAAAGACTGACCCTCAGGAGCACTACAGCAGGTACCAAAACAGTATGATGATGGTGGGGGCATCAGACGAGTATTTGTGCCGCTGGTTCCTCTCCACTTTAGAGGGGCCGGATTACGAATGGTTCAATCGATTGCCCGAAGGCTGCATCGACTCATGGCAAGAACTCGCCCAGCGATTCTTGACACAATTTGCGGGATGGCGCCGCAAAAGAAAACACTTCTCCCACTTGCTGACAGTGAGGCAAAGGAAACAGGAGACCCTTCGGGACTTCTTGGAGCGCTGGAGAACGGAGGCTGATAAAGTTGATGGCGCATACGACGGGACCCTCCTGGCCCTCTTCCAAACAATACTCCGCCCCGGAAACTTCTCAAGGAGCCTCATCATCGAGCCCCCCCCCCCATCCCCGCGATTACATAAGGGCCCTGCAACGGGGGGGACAGGTACGCCGAAGCCGAGGAGGTGGAAAAATGCCATCACAACCCCGATCAGCAATGCCCTCGGCCAGATGATAAAGGCAACTGGGGGCCGGGGGCTCCCCGTAATCAACCCAAGGATTCGGCACCCCCCGGTGACCGCCCCCGGCACGGCCAAGCCAAGCCCGGGGGAGGTTATAAGGGGAACCCGAGGGCTTGGGCACAGCCTGTTCTCCTGGAGCACCCTCGGACACCTTTGACGCACCCCGTCAGCGTCATCCTCGACTTCGCTGAGGAGAGGGGCCTGGTGGAGCGAGATTCCCGCGCACCCCCGGAGGTATATGCCATCAATCCAAACTACCCCTACTGTCGCTTCCACCGGCATCAGGGGCACAAAACCGATGACTGCCATCAGCTGAAGACGGCCATCGAAAGGTTGATACAGGCGGGCCATTTGTCCCAATTTGTCCAAGGCCCTCAGCAACAGGGTCTTCCTTACCAAGGGCCACCCCGAGGGCACCCTGCGAAAGCAAACACATGGCTCAACCCCAACACCATCCCCCTCGGCAAGAAGAGAGAGATTGGGAACCTGGAAGAAGAGGAGGAAGAGTACCCTCGGTACCAAGAAAAGAAGCGCCACATCCTCATGATCACTGGGGGCAATACCGGGGGCGACTCTACCAGTCAGCGAAAGAAGTGGGCTCAATCACTTTACGTGGGGGAAGTCACTCACATGCCCCCTGTAAAGCGGCTGAGGGAAGAACCCATCACATTCACCAACGCCGATCTCCCCCCGTCTTCCTCTCCTCACAGGGATGCTTTGGTGATCCAAAGCGAGATCAACAACACCATCATTCACCGAACTTACGTTGACACGGGCAGCTCCGTCAATGTAATGTACCTCAGCACCTTAAGAGAGCTGTATCTGGAGAGGGGGTCCATGAGGCACCTCTGCCTAAAGTTCCCAGCCGAAGGGGGTATCGGCTACTCGAGGGGAAATCAGAAACTTGCCCGCACTTGCTATCTCCAGGTGACAAAGAAGGTTAGCAAAACCGAGTTCCGTATTGACACCATCACTGGGGCTATTGAAGAGGAGGAGAAGAGGCCAAGGGCTGAACCGGCCGAGGACGTAGAGGACTTTGCGCTCGATCCGGCGATGCCGAAGAGAGTCGTGAAGATTGGAGCCCAGCTCCCCGAAGACTTGAAGACCGGCATCATCAGCGCCCTACGCGCCTACTCCATTGTTTTTTCATGGGGGCCGAAGTACATGTCGGGGATCAGCCGAAGGGTCATCACCCACCGCCTTTTGATGGACCCTTCGGCTAAACCAGTACAACAACGTAGGAGACCCCTCTCGGCCGAGAGGAGGGAATTTGTGAAGAAGGAGGTCTCCATGCTCCTCTCTATCAAGCACATCAAAGAGGTAAAATACCCCTCATGGCTGGCGAACGTAGTCCTCGCACAAAAACCACCCTCATTCCGCATGTGCGTGGATTACACGGATCTAAACAAGGCGTGTCCCATGGACCCATTTCCTTTGCCAAATATTGATCAACTTGTGGATGAGACCGCGGGGGTGTGAAATCATGTCGTTTCTCGATGCATTCCGCGAGTATCATCAAATCTTTATGCATGAGGAAGACGCTGAAAAAACAGCCTTCATGACTCCCGAGGGCATCTTCTATTACCTTGTAATGGCCTTCGGCCTCAAAAACTCAGGCGCCTCTTACACCCGGATGGTGACCAGAGTATTTCAGGCCGTTCTAGGGCGCACCATGGAGGCGTATGTTGATGACATGTTCGTCAAAAGCAAACAATCCTCCAGCCATGCTGACGACCTCAGGGAAATCTTCGCCATCATGCAAAAGTTCAACCTTCGGCTAAACCCGAAGAAGTGCACCTTCGGCGTGCAAGGAGGCAAATTCTTAGGCTACATGGTGAGCCGAAGGGGTATCGAGGCCAACCCCGAAAAAATCCAGGCCATCATCAACATGGAATCCCCACGCAACGTGAAGGAGGCCTAACGGTTGACGGGCCGCCTGGCAGCCCTCAATCGCTTCCTATCAAAATCGGCGGAGAAGTCCTTACCCTTCTTCCAGATCATGAGAAAGACCGCCGGTTTCCAGTGGACTTCAGAGTGTCAGGGGGCCTTCGAGGAACTGAAACGGTACTTATCTTTACCCCCTGTGCTCTCTAAACCCAAGTTAGGGGAGACCCTATACCTTTACCTTGGTATTAGCCCGGCAGCCATCAGCTCAGTACTCATCCAGGAAGAAGATGTCGTCCAGCATGCCATTTTCTATGTTAGCAAGATCCTCAGGGAAGCAGAACTCCGGTATTCCCCTGTGGAAAAAACGGCGTTGGCTATCGTTTGGACTGTCAAGAAATTGGGTCATTACTTCCAAGCTCACCCGGTCCAGGTCCTCACTCACCAACCCCTCGGCGCTTTGATGAGGAGCCCCACCAGCTCCTCCCGAATGGTAAAATGGGTTTTTTTCCTGAGCCAATACAATATCGACATCCTTCCTAGGCCCGCCATCAAGGGCCAAGCCCTAGCGGACTTCGTGACGGAGTGAACGGCAAGATCAGCCACGAACGAGGAGCCCTCGGCCCCCTCGGACGATTGGTGGACCCTCTACACCGATGGCTCCTCCGCTGTCAAAGCATGTGGAGGAGGGGTGGTTCTCATCTGACCTGAAGGCTTCCGGGCCTATTATGTGATCCGCTTCTCCTTCAAGGTCTCCAACAATGAAGCCGAGTACGAGGCCCTCCTCTGTGGCCTTCGGCTGGCAGCTAACATGAAGGCGCGACAGATCCACGTCAAGTGCGACTCCAAGTTAGTTGTCGGCCAAATTTCTGGGGAGTACAAAGCCAAGTTAGTCACGTGTCCCTATCTGGCATTTATTACTACTATAAATAGCGCCCCCTTTCCCCATTTGTAATCCAAGCTAAATACGCTCGCTACATTCTCAGCAATATACTCTCTCTCTCTTACTTATGCTCTGACTTCTCTCTAGTTATTCTTCGCAATAACCCCTCGGATAGGTACCCCCGGGTACACTTATCCATCACCGGATGTACCATATAGGCATTGCTCTCCTTACGACAAAGTCATCAGGAGGTTGAAAATCTTCCAACCAGTTCACTCCAGATATTGCCAGGAAGACCTCTTTTGTTCAAATGCAAAGTGAGAATTAATCTCGTGCGTTCATTTTGAGATCTAATGGCTCAAAATGAGCCTAAAGTGAACTAAATTTGATCAAAAACGCGATGGCAATTTCGTAATTAAAACGAAGTTTTTTGCCATCGCGAAAAAGTGCTACATAAACACGCAAAAGTGCAACGCGGTGAAGAAAAAGTGCAATTGTTCGCACTTTGCATGGGAGAACCTCTTTTTATTTGATCTCTTCCCTATATATATATATATATTTATTTAGGTTCATGTGAGAATTTAATCTTAGGAGAGTAAAAAAGAATAGATTTCCACCGTTGGATTAACTTCTAATTTGATCGTGTCATTAAGTTCAATGAAGGGTATTCACGTCACTTGTTATTCCAGCGATTCCCACAATCTCGGTAGATGATCCCTTCCTTAACTGTTTCTCCGCCATTATTTCCTAACGTGTATTCACGTCCCCTGCTTCTCTCCGTTGCTATGGTCATTCTTTTTTCTTCATGAGCGGACAGTTTTTCTAAAATTCTTGGATGTGATTTTCCTTCTCAAGATTGAGTTATTCCAACTTCAGTTTGCTGCTCCATTCTAACATTCCTCCATGGAGTTCGGTTAGTGTTATTCTCCTTTGAAGTTCACGGATCTTCAGTTTTCCTGATATACGATTCTTATCTTCTCTTGATTAATGTCATATTACGATGGTTTATGGTTGTTCAGACGATTCGTTCGTTTTTTTAATGATATAGAACATAAATTCATTATGTATATAGTCTGAAGATTCTTGTTTTGATTCAGATATTGTACGTATGGCGATTGTAGTATTATTGTTCAGTCTGTAGCAATCATTAAATAAATGGATGTATATTTGTATTTAAATTTCTGATCAATTTTCTTGCGCACTTTAATTTTTTTTTATGCTACTATATGCATTCTGACATTATGTTTTACTAAATAAGTTTTTTGCATGGTTCAATTAGGTTCGAGTGACGTTAATTTTAGTGCATCTGCAGCAATTTCTCAATCGTTTGATGTTAATACAATGCAATTTTCTCCGGGATCTACTATGTATTGGATACCTGATTGTGACTCTGCTTTTAAACCGCATGTTGGTATGTTGTTCAATAACTTACCTGATGGTATGCGTTTTTATGATCAATATGCGTCAATTTGTGGTTTTGAATCACGTAAAAGCAGTTAACATAGGGCTCGTGATACCGTTATTGTTTGGAAACATATGGTGTGTAATAGACAGGGCTTCAAAAATGTATCTAAAGCTAAGAAGGTTGCATCTAGCAGTGATTCTTGCAAGAATGTCGATTTAGATGATCAGTTCATTCATGAAAATGAAGACTTCCCTAATGAAAACGAATCATGTGAATCTGATGGATCTGAAAGTGAAGACCAACATCAAGTTGAAGATTTAGCAACTGCGGGCGTATGTGTTGATGGTGAGGAGAAAAAAAGACGCACAGTTTCGAATAGATGTGATTGCAAAGCACGTGCGGTGTTTAGGCTTGCGGGCAATAATAGATACAAAATTACATTCTTTGAGGAGAGGCATAATCATTATATGTCTTCCTCTTCTTCAATGCCATTCTTAAAAGTTAATAGGAAACTTGACATTGGTCATCAAAATTTTTTGATGAATTGTGCTAAAGCAAGTATTGGCACAATGAAATGCTATCGATTGTATAAGGAAACTGTAGGGGGTTATGCTAATATTGGTGCTACATCCGTGGATTTTAAGAATTTTAAACGTGATTTGAAGGCTTATTTAGTTGGTGTGGACGCACAAATGTTGATAGATAAGATTTTTAGAAAGAAAGAAATTTGTTCTGCCTTTTCATTTGACCATGATGTTGATGAGAGTGACCAACTGACACGTATATTTTGGGCGGATCCAGTTTGCATAAAGAATTATGCGTTATTCGGGGATGTTGTTTCTTTTGATGCGACATACGAGACAAACAGGTACTGTGTTTAGAACTTAATATTCCTTTTATGACTTCATTGTTTTTTAAAATTTTATGCATGCTACAATTCTGTGTTTCGTATTATATGCATCTCAAAGTATTCGTAGTGCACTTTTTGCTGTTATTCAATGCACTTTTAACTATTATGTATCAACACAGGTATAACATGGTTTTTACCCCTTTCACTGGCGTTGATAATCACAAAAGGTGCATTACTTTGGCGTTGGTTTGTTGTTGAAAGTGAAAGAGATATGCCCTCGAACTATTCATATGTGTATGACTTATAGTTGGATATCTTATGCTTATTAATAAGGTTTATTTTATTTCACCTTATATTCTTAAATATAGTATATTATTATTACTAGTTCACCAAGTATGTGACTTGGTTGTGGAATACTAGTCATTTCGTAAAATATACTATGTCCCTAATCATATCTCTATAATCTAGGATTACATAGACATATTGATTAGAGTGTGGGTTAGCTGATGACTATGTTCCACAAGTCATGGATATGGTGATATCAAGCTAAACACACTAATACTTGTTGGTGAACAAATATTGGACCGACCCGTTTTGGGAACACTGCAAAGAAATGTTATAAATGTCATCAGTGATGTTCCCATTAGTGAAATCATATCGTCCTCGGACCTGAGATCGCCATGGTTACCAATATAAGGATTAATACATTAGACATAATCAAACGTTACTCCTAAATGAGTAACTATAAAGATAATAATCAAATGTATTATGAAATATATAGAGGTATGTGGTTGGTTAAGATGGGATTTGTCACTTTCATATATTGAGAGAAGATATCTTTGGGCCCCTTGATAAGTATATTTAATTATAGCATGGCCATGCACAAATGAGGTGTCATTTGTATTAAATATACTTGGAAATCAAGATACAATGATTGAACTATACAAGAATGACACTCACCTAGTCTTGTGTTCAATCTAGATATCGTTTGACAAAAGGAATATATATGTGACATAATATATTTATAAGTTGTGTCGTTTTGAATTTTATATCCTTTGGATAATAATAATGTCTTACTAGAGACCACTTTTTATTTGTATAATTAAAAGAGTATTTAATTATACTACCAAAGGAATATAAACCTATAGGGTCACACGCTAAAACGTTTTGGATCAGAATCGGATAATGTTTGGGTCTGAATGACTTCAAGCCTTATGTCCGTTTGTTGCTAGGGTTTTCTACATTATGTTCTCTATAAAAGGAGGAGCCTAAGAGCTTAATAGGGCTGGCCGTTCTCACACATACATGAGACAAAACATAATTTGAGAAAACCCTTTTTGAATGCTAGTACATTGAGCAAGTCTGATCCGATCGTGTGTGCACACCGTAGAGGCGTGGTACTTTCTACGCTAGAACGACATAAACAAGTGATAAGACCTAGGTTTCCATTGATCCATCAAAAGGTATGGTTTCATACGAACTCATAATGATTAGTTTCTTGATTTATTGCAAACTATATTGCTTATTAGCAATTGAAATTCATGGAATAGTATAGATCCTTTTGTAAATGTTTTTGCTTCGTATCAAGCATGAGATTAATGTTCGTAGCTCGTTTCCCAACAGTGGTATCAGAGCCTTGGCTTACTATTCCATGGTTTTCAATTGGCATATTAGTATTTTTGAAAGAATCATGCAATACATCAAGTTTTGATCGAACTTTTGTATCATGTTTGTTGCGTTTCACAAACTGTCCATATTTCTTGAATATGACTTTCTTGAGATCTGATTATGGACTAGAATGAATTGAAACATCAATGTTTTTTTTTTGTTTTTAAGTATGATTATTAGGAAAGTTCGTATTATATGCTAAAGTAATTGAATGTTCACAATTACCTTAATTAGCATATACGAATTTCCTATAATATTTTCAATCATATTCGATTTGATTAGATCAAATCTATTGGAATTGGTTGATTTGATTTTATGTCCGTTTTGTTACATAAATGATCGTGTTTTTAATCATGTTTATTAGGAATATTCGTATTATATGCTAAAGTAATTGAATGTTCACAATTACCTTAATTAGCATATACGAATTTCCTATAATATTTTCAATCATATTCGATTTGATTAAATCAAATCTATTGGAATTGTTTGATTTGATTTTATGTCCGATTTGTAACAAATATGATCTTGCTTTTAAGCATTTGTATTAGGAAAGTTCATATTATATGCTAGTGTAATTGAAAGTCCACGATTACCTTAATTAGCATATATGAATTTCCTCTAAGATTTTCAATCTTATTAGATTTGATGAGATCAAATCTATTGGGATTTTTTGCTTTAATTTATTCCACGTTTTGTAAGGTATATGATCTTGTCATTAACGTATCATTTTAGGAAAAATTCATACTAAATGCTAGTGTAATTGAAATTTCACAATTACTATGATTAGCATATACGATTTTCCCATAAGTTTTTTTTAATCATATTAGACTTGATGAGATCAAGACTAATGAGATAGTTTGTGTTAATATGATTAAGGAAAATGATACAATCTGATTTTGACAAAGTTATTATATTAAGAAGTTTCCCATTGTTTGCTATTGTGATAAAAAAAAATTCCGCAATTACCATATTTAGCATATACGAATTATCTTGTTAGATTTTTCATATCATAAAAGATCCAAAAGAATTATGTCTAATGAGATTAGACATATTAACTGATAATTCGTAGATTAAACTCTACTTATGGGCTTTTACATGTATGTGATACTTCATGCTATGAGATAACACTAACCTGCAGGATTATGATTATAAGTGATATAGTATGGCCATATTTTTGTTTTGTTTTGTACGGCCTGCGTGTCATTTAAATTATTGTACGTTTTTCAGTATTAGGATTTTGTATTAGGATGCAAAATGTAAATATTATAAATTATACATCAAAAGATGGAGGAGTGCCCATCAAGGAGAAGCATGGTGAGCATGCTGGAGTGCTAGAAGCTAACAATAGCTTGATATATTGGCCATACTATATCACATGCATTTTACCCTTATTTATTGCTTTGTGATTGTTTAAACACCTTATTGCATTGCATAGTTATGTCCCTATAAAAATGAATCATTTGTGCCTTTCCAACATTGACAACTATTACATATTATGAGAATTATAGAAGACGTTTGCCAAAGCAGAGTCATATAAAATTATCATAATGGTAAGAATGTCGGACATTCATTGGTCATAAAATGTTGGTTTGATCTCACAAAGTCATCAAAACGGTTTTGGACTTTGAGGCAAAGTGTTGAGTAGCTCAAACATAAGATATAAAACTCAACAAACCAAGAATTACATAGGATGTAATTAGCAATTGTTGCTTACCCAATTAACAAAGTTTTGAGTGAAAAGCCAAAGCCTTTTCAATTTTTTGCTAAAAGGGATCTTGGTCCTACTATGTCCCATTGGGACGTTTACTTGTTTGACATAGTAGGAGTCTTTAATAATAAGCACACACATTAATCTTTGTACATGTTTTCTGTAGAAAATGGCAAATAACAACACATCCACTTTTTCCCTGCGATCCGTCCTTGAGAAGGAAAAACTGAACACAACCAACTTCCTAGACTGGTTTAGGAATTTGAGAATTGTTCTCAAGCATGAGAGGAAAGACTATGTCCTCGAGAATGCAATTCCTGCTGAAGAACCATCAACTAATGCCCATCGTGCTCAAAAGGATGCATATCAGAAGCATCTAAATGATGATTTGGATGTTTCATGCCTCATGCTTGCTAGCATGAACGCTGATCTGCAAAAACAGTTTGAGAACTTAAGTTCTTTCGACATGGTTAAGGAACTAAAAGGTTTGTTTCAAGAACAAGCTCGAGTTGAACGCTATGAGACTACTAAGTCTTTGTTTTCATGCAAGCTTCACGAGGGAAGCTCTGTTAGCCCCCATGTACTCAAAATGATTGGGTACATTGATCACCTTGAAAGGTTGGGGACAACCATTAGCCAAGAGTTGGCTACTGATGTCATTCTCTAGTCGTTGCCAGAATCATTTGATGGTTTCATCATGAATTTCAACATGCACAACCTGGAGAAGACATTGAATGAGCTTCATGGAATGTTGAAAACGGCTGAGTAGAACATTGTTAAGAAAAGGAAGAACGATGTTCTAGTGGTTCAAAAGGGAAAGGGTTTCAAGAGACATGGAACTAAGAAAGGAAAGGGCAAGGGCAAAACTCCCGTTAAGAACTGGAAAAACAACAAGGTGAAATCTGAGCCCAAGCCCAATCCACAAGTTGAAATGTTATGCTTCCACTGCAATGAAAAGGGTCATTGGAAGAGGAACTGTAAGAAATACCTTGAGGAAAAGAAGGGAATGAATTCTTCTAAATCAGGTACTTACGTTATAGAAGTAAATGTTACTTCAGCTTCTTCTACTTCTTGGGTATTAGATACTGGAAGTGCATCTCACATTTGTACAAATGTGCAGGGGTTCAAAAGGAGTAGGAAGCTGGCTAAAGGGGAAGTGGACCTACGAGTTGGAAATCGAGCAAAAGTTGCTGCTTTAGCTGTAGGAACACTCGAAATACCTTTTCCTTCAGGAGTTATTTTAGAATTGAATAATTGCTACCATGTGCCTTCGTTTAGCAGAAACATTATTTCTATTTCCTTGTTGGACAAGGAAGGTTTTTTTAATTTAACTTTAAGAACAATAGTTGTTCGTTTTCTAAGAATAATGTGCACTATGGTTTTGGCCAATTATTGGATGGTCTTTACATTCTAAATCTTGAAATAGATATCTATAACGTAAGTAGCAAGAGAATCAAGTCTGATGATTCTAATCCTACTCTTCTATGGCATTGTCGCTTAGGCCACATAAATGAGAAACGCTTACAGAAGCTCCATAAAGATGGTCTTCTAAGTTCATTTGACTTCCAGTCTCTTGAACATTGTGAATCTTGTTTATTGGGAAAGATGACTAAGAGTCCATTCATTGGTAACAACGAAAGGGCAAGTGATCTTTTGGGACTCATTCATACCGATGTATGTGGACCACTGAACACACATGCTACAGGAGGATATAATTACTTCATCACATTCACTGATGATCTCAGTAGATATGGTTATGTTTATTTGATGAAACATAAATCAGAATCTTTTGGAAGATTCAAGGATTTTCAGAATGAAGTACAAAATCAACTTGGTAAGAGTATTAAAATTCTTTGATCAGATCGAGGAGGAGAATATTTAAGCCATGATTTCAATGATCATCTTAAAAGTTGTGGCATCATTTCCCAACTTACTCCACCAGGAACACCACAATGGAATGGTGTATCAGAAAGGAGGAATCGGACTCTGTTAGACATGGTTCGATCAATGATGAGTCAGACTTCCCTTCCAGCATCCTTTTGGGGATATGCTCTTGAAACCGCAGCGTTCACACTGAATAGATCTCCATCCAAGGCTGTAGAAAAGACACCTTACGAGTTATGGATTGGAAAGGTTCCTAGTTTATCATTTTTTAAGATTTGGGGATGTCAAGCTTTTGTTAGACGATTGACCACGACTAAATTAGAACCCAAATCAGAGAGATGCTTCTTTGTTGGATATCCTAAAGAAACCAAAGGATATTACTTCTATAACCAGACCGAAAACAAAGTGTTTGTAGCTCGGAATGGTGTCTTCTTAGAAAGAGAATTTATTTCAAAGGAGAACAGTGGGAGCAAGATACATCTTGAAGAAATTCGAGATGAAATTGATGCTCTCAATGAAGAGCCTGAATCAAATATGCAAACAGGTTCACAGGCTCCAGAGGAAGTGACAACCTTACGAAGGTCAAGTAGGCCACGTCGAGAACCTGAGAGATATTCATTTATCGTCTCAAATGAGAAAGACGTGTTGTTGTTAGACAACAATGAGCCACTCACTTTCAAGGAAGCAATGGAGAGTTCTAGTTCCAAAGAATGGCAAGAATCCATGAGATCCGAAATGAAATCCATGTACGGCAATCAAGTATGGGACTTGGTTGACTTGCCAGATGGCTATAGAGCCATAGAATGCAAATAGGTTTTCAAAATAAAACTTGATAAGGATGGCAAGATCGATGTCTATAAGGCTCAATTGGTTGCAAAAGGATATAGACAAATTCATGGTATTTACTATGATGAATCCTTTTCTCCAGTTGTCATGTTTAAATCAATCAGGATACTTTTAAGCATCGCCGCGTATTATGACTATGAGATATGGAAAATGGATGTCAAAACTGCTTTCCTAAATGGATACCTTGAAGAGGATGTGTACATGACACAACCTGAAGGTTTTGTCGATCCGATAAATGCTAATAAAGTATGCAAGCTTAAGAGATCCATATATGGTCTTAAGCAAGCATCTCGGAGTTGGAATCTTCGTTTTAATGAGGTTGTCAAAGAGTTTGGTTTAATGAAAAGCGAAGAAGAACCTTGTGTATACAAGAAGGACAGTGGGAGCGCAATAATCTTTCTGGTATTGTATGTAGATGACATACTACTCATTGGAAATGATATTCCCATGCTTCAATCTGTTAAGACTTGGCTGGGAAATTGTTTTTCAATGAAAGACTTGGGCGAGGCAACCTATATATTAGGGATCAAGGTCTATAGGGATAGATCAAGAAAACTAATAGGATTAAGCCAAAGTACATACATTGACAAAATCTTAAATAGGTTTTGCATGCAAAACTCTAAGAGGGGATTCTTGCCAATGACACATGGCATAACACTCAGCAAGACTCAGTGTCCTCAAACACAAGATGAGCGAGATCGCATGGATAGAATCCCATATGCTTCGGCTATAGGATCTATCATGTATGCCATGTTATGTACTCGTCCTGATATAGCACATGCATTGAGTGTGACTAGCAGATACCAGTCAGACCCTGGTGAGGGCCACTGGACCGCTGTCAAGAATATTCTAAAGTACTTAAAAAGAACTAAGGATATGTTCTTGGTCTATGGCGGACAGGAAGAATTGGTTATAAGTGGTTACACTGATTCGGGCTTTCAGTCAGACAATGATGACTTCAAATCGCAATCCGGTTTTGTATTTTGTCTAAACGGTGGAGCTGTGAGTTGGAAGAGTTCTAAGCAAGACACGGTTACTGATTCTACAACGAAAGCTGAATATGTTGCTGCTTCAGAAGCAACAAAGGAAGCAGTATGGATAAAGAAGTTTATCACTGAGCTTGGTGTCATTCCTAGTAGCACCGATCCAATAGATTTGTATTGTGACAACAATGGAGCGATTGCTCAGGCTAAAGAGCCGAGGTCACACCACAAGTCTAAGCATATTCAAAGACGTTTTCACCTGATACGTGGGTTTATATATAATGGTGAGGTAAAGATGTGCAAAGTTCCCTCGGATGAGAACGTTGCTGATCCTTTGACCAAGCCGCTTTCTCAATCCAAAAATGATAGACATATCAGTGCAATGGGAATTCGTTTCATGAATGAATGGTCCTAGTGCAAGTGGGAGACTGAAAGAGATATGCCCTAGAACTATTCATATGTGTATGACTTATAGTTGGATATCTTATGCTTATTAATAAGGTTTATTTTATTTCACCTTATATTCTTAAATATAGTATATTATTATTACTAGTTCACCAAGTATGTGACTTGGTTGTGGAATACTAGTCATTTCGTAAAATATACTATGTCCCTAATCATATCTCTATAATCTAGGATTACATAGACATATTGATTAGAGTGTGGGTTAGCTGATGACTATGTTCCAGAAGTCATGGATATGGTGATATCAAGCTAAACACACTAATACTTGTTGGTGAACAAATATTGGACCGACCCGTTTTGGGAACACTGCAAGGAAATGTTATAAATGTCATCAGTGATGTTCCCTTTAGTGAAATCATATCGTCCTCGGACCTGAGATCACCATGGTTACCAATATAAGGATTAATACATTAGACATTATCAAACGTTACTCCTAAATGAGTAACTATAAATATAATGATCAAATGTATTATGAAATATATAGAGGTATGTGGTTGGTTAAGATGGGATTTGTCACTTCCATATATTGAGAGAAGATATCTTTGGGCCCCTTGATAAGTATATTTAATTATAGCATGGCCATGCACAAATGAGGTGTCATTTGTATTAAATATACTTGGAAATCAAGATACAATGATTGAACTATACAAGAATGACACTCGCCTAGTCTTGTGTTCAATCTTGATATCGTTTGGCAAAAGGAATATATATGTGACATAATATATTTATAAGTTGTGTCGTTTTGAATTTTATATCCTTTGGATAATAATAATGTCTTACTAGATACCGCTTTTTATTTGTATAATTAAAAGAGTATTTAATTATACTACCAAAAGAATATAAACCTATAGGGTCGCACGCTAAAACGTTTTGGATCAGAATCGGATAGTGTTTGAGTCCGAATGACTTCAAGCCTTATGTCCGTTTGTTGCTAGGGTTTTCTACATTATGTTCTCTATAAAAGGAGGAGCCTAAGAGCTTAATAGGGCTGGCCGTTCTCACACATACATGAGACAAAACATAATTTGAGAAAACCTTTTTTGGATGCCAGTACATTGAGCAAGTCTGATCTGATCGTGTGTGCACACCGTAGAGGCGTGGTACTTTCTACGCTAGAACGACATAAACAAGTGCTAAAACCTAGGTTTCCATTGATCCATCAAAAGGTATGGTTTCATACGAACTTATAATGATTAGTTTCTTGATTTATTGCAAACTATATTGCTTATTAGCAATTGAAATTCATGGAATAGTATAGATCCTTTTGTAAATGTTTTTGCTTCGTATCAAGCATGAGATGCATGTTCGTAGCTCGTTTCCCAACAGAAAGAAGACGTGGAATCATATGCTTGGTTGTTTCGTTGTTTTTTGAATGCAATGGATCGGGAACCAAAGTGCATCATAACAGATCAAGACCTGTCCATGAAGATTGCTATTCCACAGGTTCTTAGTATGACATCTCACAGATTTTGTATGTGGCATATAATGTCCAAGGTGAGTTCGAAAGTTGGACCCGTTTTGAGTAAAGATTCAAATTTTATGAAGGAATTGAATCCTATTGTGTGGAGTCATTATTTGCAACCAACTGAATTTGAGATGAGATGGACTAATTTAATGAAAGAGTATGACCTACTTGATCACAATTGGTTCTCGCATATGTTTGAGATTAGGAGTCAGTGGATTCCTGCTTATTTTGCTGATCTTTTTATGGCGGGTTTGCTTAGGACTACATCACGTTCTGAGAGCGAAAATAATCTTTTCAACGAATTCACAAATCCTAATTTCAGTTTGGTTGAGTTTTACATGCGGTTTGAGAGTGCAATGGATTCTCAAAGACATAAGAGTGCACAATTGAGCAAAGTTTCTGAGTCATTCATTACCGAGTACAAGACTCTGTTACATATTGAAAGATATGCTTCATCTGTTTATAATTATTCAATTTTTTATCTCGTTCAAAAGGAAATATGTTGCACTTGTTTTTCTTGTGCCGTTCTTAGTCTCCAACATGAGGGTTGTGTTTTTACGTATGTCATATCAGATGAACGAGGTTTAAATTTCACAGTTGTGCACAACAGCAGTGATGGTACTACACTTTGCTCTTGTAAACATTTTGAAAGAATTGGCATTTTGTGTCGTCACATTTTTTGTGTGTTAAAAGATAAGAAGGTCAATGCCATTCCAGATAGATATGTGCTACGTCGATGGTGCAAAGATTCAATTCCAAAGCCTCTTAATACATTTGAAGATAGTGTTTTTCATGAGTGTGTTGGCACTGAACAACAAACACTAGCTATGAAGACATTATGGTCTGATATTCATTTTTGTGTTGGAATGATTGAACATCAACCTCACTTGTTTCAGCAGTTTTCAGATGCCATTAAGGCGCAAAAACAATTATTGTCTAGCTCTCAACCAACCAGTGCAGCAGTATCTTCAAAAAGTGATGTTATCAAATGCTTTTATGGGTCACCTATTCCTACTCAAGTTAACGTGCATCCACCTCAGCAGGCTCGAAATAAGGGTTGTGGTAAGAGGCTTAAAGGTAGCAAGGAGAAGGCAATTGAAGTGAGCCAGAAGACTAAGAGATTATGTAGAAAATGTAATCAAAAAGGGTATCATGACAGTAGGAATTGCCCTTTGAACTCAGAGGAATGATTATTCTTTTGTATTCATTTATAAAAATTGTCATTGTATCTTGACGCAATGATTTTTATTTTTTATTCATTTATAGGAATTGTAATTTGAACTCGTACGTATGATTATTATTTTTAATTATAATATTCGGACTTATGAAAATTATTTTTGATTGATAAGTATGTTCTTTGTTAGTCATTATATAAAATAATACCGATTGACTAAATTTTTTTGGCCTTTATTTTCCCTCTAACTCTGTAAAAATTTATAAAGTTAACCATTGCAGTGTTATTATTAACTCGTGCATTTTTTAGTCCAAATTGTGCAGTGTTTATGGTTATTCATTGCAGTGTTATAATTTCATTTCAAAATACGTATTACAATGCCATTTTAGTACATCTAAAATGACTTTTTTCACATTCTTATGGAATAAATACTTCTTTCACTTTGACTAATTTACTACGTTCAACGTTATTTAATTTATTACAATGCAAGGTGATTTATCAAATAGTACAGGGTTTTTACCCACCACTTCATTTTATTAAAAAATATTGCATTTTTTTACGAAAACCAAAGACATACATATGTATACATTTGAACTTTGTTACACAAATATGTTAGTCAAACAATAACATCAAAACCAAATGCAATTAAATCCTAATAAATCCAATTGTGTCCATAACCAACAAAAAACATATGTCTAAGGCATCACGCCTTTTCAAAACAACACAAACGCCTCACGCAAAACAAAAGTGCAAGCAATCAAACCAAAATAGTGTTTAATCCCAACTTCACATCTACTTCTTAATATGTTTCCCCTTGCTAAATCTCTTGACTTCATCCAAGTTTTTTTCCCTCATCTCATTGACGGCCGATGTGATGAGTGTTGCACAATACTTCACTCGCAATGCACTCAATTTCTTTGCATCCCCTTTCTTCACTCCACAATCCCATCCCTTGACGCCTTAGCCCATGTAGGTCTCCATATGCCTCATGTTCCACACGCCGTAATCATGCACATTTTTTGCCTCTCTCCAGTTCATTGTCAATCTCTTCAGGTTCGGTGTGTAAAATGTATTGGAGTCATTATCAAGATCCACTTCACATAAGTAATCCACAAACATGTCTCTCTTTTTTCAAAATTTGCAATACAAACAAATAAAATGTGTAAGTGAAACAATTTACACATATTGTAAAGTTTATGCGTACTATGTAGGCACTCACTAGTGTATATGACATCTCACCATATTTTTCATCAAAGCGTATTTTATCAACTACGTTGTCCAAAACTTCTACAGTCCGCGTCTTCATGTTTAGACACACAACATAACAATGCTGCGGCTGCACAATTGGAAAATAAAACTGCACAAAAAATATAATTAATTTAAATTAGTCTTTGTTTAACTATGCTTAACTCTGATGCACATATATATACACATTAAATTTACCAAATCTACATCTTCCATTTTAATATCCGGTTTCACCGTTTCCAATGCGAGGAGTATTCCTTCCTTAAACACTTCATATGCTTGGTCTTCAGGGATTTGGTTCTCCATCATGTAAAGCTGTAAAAAAATGCACAAATTACACGTTTTATGTGCACTGAAATAACCCCATAGTGCTTGTCATTACTAAATAATTTATATTTGTGAATTATGAATCTTACACAAGGCATAGATTTCACAAACAATCTGCACGGTGTCGTGCTACTGCGTACTTTCTCCTTGGTATTCAAGCACAATGTCCAGGCATCTAACACGTTCATGGACAAGTGGTTTTTCTCCCTGAGGCTAAACATGTCTCCTCGCTTGACTGAAACTTGCTTGTACTTGAAAACAAATTCATCCCTAAATGTAATCAACACAGTTTATTATTATTTCTTAATTTACAACAGTATTAACAATTCAATCATTGAAATATATATTTTATTCTATTAAACCTCTTATAAGGAGCATCTTGCATCACCCATTTCCATATCACTTTCTCATTTGGGTTTGATGTGTCATTAGGGTCTATAGCTCTTTCCAGGTAAGGAGATTTTAATACTTCTGCAGCCTTTGCTACCCTTCTTGGCCTCAAATAAGTCATTTTTTCACCTACAACCAATTCATGCACAATTGCACTCTTCCTTTTGACCTCTTTCTTTTGCAACTTCAATCATTTTTCAGTAAGCCTCATTAGTATCATAATAATAACATAATAATATTAATATGATAACATGTATACAATAATTACCTCAACAACAGCTTCTGGTTCCTTCTCTTTTTCTGTCACATTCCCTACTACAACTTGGTCTTCATTTTGTTCTTCATCCTGTGCATCTTCATTTACTACTTTGTCTATTTCATCACATAGTTCTGATATGGTTGCAAATGGTCTTCCTTTTTCTTGTGTCAGTCCAATCGAAAAGGTTGGCATGTCTTCAATTCCTTTCTCGTACAAGGACTTCTTTGCATTTGCATTTTCCACCCTCTCAACTGCACTTATTGTCTCAGCCCAGAAAGCAGCATCTTCTATCTCTTGAGTACTTCTAGCATCTGTTTCTTGTGTAGCATCCACAAGTCTCTTCTTTTTCCCTACTCCAATCAACTGTTGTGCAGCGTCTTGCATCCTCGTGAACTTTTCTGTTTGAATTAAGTTTCTTGGTGCTTGTTCAAACATGTTGATAACATCAATCACAGTTGCAGCCAAGATATCTGTTTTCTGAGCGAATCTCTTCACAAATTGCTGGTATTATTAATGCAATGTAAATTACATTTTGGTGCACAAACTATAATAAATAGTTGCTTAATTTTGAAATAATGATTCACAATTATAATAAACCTCACCTCAGGATTGTCACCATCAGTAGATTGCACCTCAAATCTCTCTGCACTTCCATCTGTCCCATGTGATTTGTCGTTCTGCATACCCTCTTCTGAAATCATTGGTCCTTCGCTTCGACCCATTCCGAAACCGCCACTTTCTATTTCCATCAATTCTCTCTCTCAAAGAAGATTCCCATTCCACATTTTCATAATAGGTAAACTCATGCCCACCTTTCTTCTATACACCACCACTCTGTCAACATAGAACAACTACCACACAAATAATTGTTATTAGACTTTAGTTGCTGTTCAAATAATATATTTATAATTAAAATAAGCACATCACATTTGAACTTACTATTAAAAACAGCAAAGGGCCAGTAAAAGCTCTGTTCTTTTTCTTCTCCCATGAGACTTTACTATCAATTAAACAATTTAGTGTATGGTCACACCAATCGAAATCTTTTATCCTCTCAACATCTTCCAAATGATTAATAATATCATTGGATTAACATACCCATTCTGAGTGCTCTCAAGTAGGAGTGATACCACAAGAACAATGAAGTTCCTTTTGAACCATTCACCTCCTTCTTTCATGTTAAGCATTGCTGCACTAACATCTGACGGACTGATTTTTGACACCTCTTTAGGAAACATTGCTCTCCAATCACGAATTAATGCACTCTCTGCATTTCTTTTCTTTGCCACAATTTTCTGTCCTCCTAATGGGAAGCCTAATACTCGAGCAACATCTGCCTCGGTTATGTGCAGCTGTTGTCCATCATCTAGCACTAATGAACACTTTTTGGCGTTAAAGTTATCAACTACCCAAAAACCCATCCTTCCGGGAATTTCAGATACGTCCATTTCAAGCAATGAACCAAAACCAATCTTCTTTACATCCTGTTTCTGAGCATCATTCATCCCAGCCATCGCTTTAACTAGCAAACTAGGTGAAGATCTTGTACGTATTGTCATATACCTTGCCTTCACATCTTTAATGCTTTGCTTGATATTTTCCTTGCCCATGTTCTGCACTACCGCATTTGCACCACCACCTTGGCATGGTTGTATCTCGAAATCGTCATCACTGTCTTGCCCTTTTATTTGCCTTTTCTGTCTCTTCGCTATAACTTGGTGTTTTTCATTTGTCGTTGGTGGTGCTGCTCTTTTCCCTTTATCGTTGATCACAAGCTGCACTCTTGTTTCACTTGAACCTGTAATGTGGTATTCAATGCACTTAATTTAATAAGTTATTGCATTATAACAGTTAAAACTACACAATAACAAATTTACTATAATCTTGCACACCATTAACCACTAAGGACTACATACTTCACCATTGTATTATGTATTTACCAAATCACTTTAATTTCTAAGTATATGCACTTCAAAGGTTTTACACTACACTTTAATCATAATTTATCCATAAAACCTACGATGTGGTTAAGATGTGCAGTGATTTACCGTTCAAAATGCATTATTCAGACTCCCTCAAACTAAACTAAACGCACAGCCTCAAACTCACTTTATATGAAAAGTAAAGTCACTTTAATTATTTACAACACTATGTTAACCATAACTTTAATCATGAATTATTTTTAAATATATGCACTTTACTTAATCATAACTACAGCATAAGTGTATCTTCTTTATACACATAGTGCACTATGTATATCAACAAACCACAACTTATATAATGTTTGAATTTACCCAATCACTTCATTTTGTAAGTATATGCACTTCAAATAATTTACACTACACTTTACTCATAAGTTTTCCATCCTACGTATTATGTGGTAATCAAATCACTTTCTTTCCCTACAACATGCACATCAACAATTAGAAAAACTCTTACTCACATTTCCAAAATGTGCATTTATTTAATCTTAAAAAAGCATTATTCACACTCAAACAACACAACCTCAACACACTAACACAAAATTAACAAAACTGTGCACTGTCATGACATTACACACTAATGGAACTGCCTTAATCTCACTTTATATCAGAAGTAAATGCACTTTAATTATTTACAACAACATTGATGGAGTATATGGCCCGGGAACCCCCGGTCCACAGACTCCTACTACTCCAGCGAAGGCCCAACAGGCCCAAATCACAGCGCCCAGAGTACCAAGCAGCCCGCACAACGTGCCCGGGGTGCCTTCGGCCCCCTGGCCGAAGGCTCCAAATTCTCACAGAACGGGTTTCTCAAGCAAATTAAGAAACTGGGAAAAATGGCGAAAACAGTAGCCCTCGGCACTATGAGCCCTCGGCACCAGGGTGCCATCGGGTGGAAGAGCCCTCGGCTACTGCTCTATAGCCGAAGGCATCTCACTCGACAAGATATCCGCCTCACATGCGTACAGATCGCCGTACCCCGCACAGACGTCCCATCCAACAGCCGCATTTAATGCGGCCACATGCGGCTGCCAGCGCCAACCAGTTGATCGAGGTGACCCCTCGGCCAATGAGCGCTTGACACGTGTCCCTGCCCGACATTTATTACTACTATAAATAGCACCCCATTTCCTCATTTGTAACCACGCTGAATTCACGCTGAAAACGGCATTCATACTGAATACACTCTCTCTCTACTTTTATTCACTTGCTCTGACTTCTCTCTAGATTACTCCCCGTAATAACCCTTCGGATATATACCCCCGGGTAGACTATCCATCATTTGGTTCTCTCGTTGAGAGGTTGAACAATCGAGTAAGAAACCCTCCCCCTCGACCAAACACAAAACACTAGCCCTCTATCAAAATGGTGAGGACAACACGTGCCAACTCAAAGAACGTAGAAGACAAGAACCTGGCCCTCGGCGACGTCAACGCCCCCGAAACCTCTCACAGGGCTCCCGAGGGCGGTGTCATCGCTGGGCTGGAACAGGCGGCTGTCGACCTACGCCTTCAGATCCAACAAAATGCCCCCGATGTCCGCCTCGGCATCGAGGCCAAGAAGAAAAACCGGAGCGATGACCAAGTCAGTCCTCCGGTTCTCACCATCGACGTGCAGTCGGCGCTCTCCGCCTTCATCCAGACGCTCACCCAGAACCCGGGTGCCTTCGGCACCCTGGCTCCAGCTCACCCTCAGATCGGGGAAAATATCATACTTCCCCCTCTGCCACACCCCTTCGGAAATCCCACCCCTCGGGTGAGAAACGACGAAGGGGTGGTGGCCCAAGAAACGTCCTCCCAGGAAGTTCAGTCCCGGGACCGCCATAATGACAACAGTGAAAGGCCCCGTACTTCCGCCCTCAACTGGCTCGGAGGAGGGCCAGACCGCCGAGGGGTCCAAGACCGCCTCGGGGGGAAAGCACTCCAAAGGCCCCAAGAAAGCGGGGGATCTGTTTCGAGGGCAGACGAGGAGCGTCCCCCTCGGGACAAAGGCAAGGCACCCCTTCATGCCGATGATGCTCGGCACCAAATCAACCAGGCCCACTCGGCCCGGGTTCGTTCGCAGGGGGCGGAGACCCTCCCGAAGGATCCCCGGGACGAGATTATTGCGGCCCTCCAACGCCGGCTTGACGAGATGGAGTCCAACAAAGCTCACGCCACCACCTCCACCCCTCATTCAGATCTCAAATACGAGGCCATGATGGCCAAGATGGAGGAGTTACAAAAGAAGGTGGCCGAGGGCTCCGGGGAACCCGTTATCCAGCTCCGAACTCGGACGCCATTTACCCCAAGGGTATTGGCGGCCCGGATCCCGGAAAAATACCGAAGGCAACACATACAGCCCTACAACGGGAAAACGGACCCCCAGGAACACTACAGCAAATACCAGAACAACATGATGATGGTGGGGGCATCAGACGAATATTTGTGTCGGTGGTTCCTCTCCACCTTAGAGGGACCAGCATACGAATGGTTCAACAGGCTGCCCGAGGGCTGCATTGATTCGTGGCAAGAACTCGCCCAACGATTCTTGACACAATTCGTCGGGAGGCGTCGCACAAGGAAGCACTTCTCCCACCTCCTAACAATACGCCAGAAGAAGGATGAGACCCTCTGGGATTTCCTAGAGCGCTGGAGGACGGAGGCCGACAAGGTCGACGGTGCTGATGACGGGACCCTCCTGGCCCTCCCACAAACCGTCCTCCGCACCGGAAACTTTTCAAGGAGCCTCATCATTGAACCCCCCCCCCCCCCCCCCCGCGACTACATAAGGGCTTTGCAGTGGGGGGACCGATATGCTGAGGCCGAGGAGGTGGAGAAGTATCACCAGCATCCGGACCAGCAGCCCCCGAGGGCTGACAACAAGCATAACCGGGGGCCGGGGGCTCCTCCCAATCACCCCAAAGCTTCGGGACCCTCTGATGACCGCCCTCGGC